AAGAAAGATTGTCTAGCACAGAGTGTCAAGAACAAGTTTCGAGCAACACATAGCAAGACTGTTTAGCAAGAGAAAGTCTCGTGGAAAATGCTCGTTTCTGGAAACTTTGATTGTCGCTTCTGGTGAAAGTCTCGTGAAACATGCTTGCTGCAGCTTTGGATGCGCTGGCGCTGCTTCTGCTGATGACTTTGCGAGTCATCCACAGAAAAGGTTTTGATTGATACACTTTTGTGCCTTTGCATTCTCCTCTATACATGAGTGACTGCATTCGGGTTCGTGGGTTCTATCAGTTTTATATTTTTTCGTTCGTCAACATGACAACATGTACTTTATGTTTGTGTATATAAGTATAGCAATAGATACAGTACACAGAAGCTCTGTACATATTTATACTCCAGACCTTTGCCCCCGGCTGGTGCTTCCACAGAGTGCGGCAGCCCAACCTTCGGCACTTGTGAATTCTCTTCCTCTGGAACTTATTTGGCGAACTTGTTAGTTCTTGATCAGAATGCATCAATCATAGCCAACGTCCGATTCTCTCTTGGCACGTCGCAACAACAACAGCAGCAGCATTGAAGGATATGATAGGACCGATAATTAGGGAGTGGGAAGCTAGCTCAGACTGATTTACTTTGGCAAAAGGCATTGCATGACGACAAGTTACTGAGAGACAATCTTTTGCAGAGCTGCGTTTGGTAGTTTGTCCATGCGAAAATCTTGGAAGGCTGGTGTCAGAACTTTCAGCTTGTCAAGAGATACAAACACATTTGGCGCAACTCAGACAGGATGGGTGCTAAGTGCTGCACTGAAAGGAAACCCCGTCCCAGAGGATGGGATGACAAGCCGTGGTGTGCTCAGGCAAACAAATAGTCACGACAACTGAGCTGGAGCGCCGAAGGGGCGACTCAGGTTTCCAAGCAAGATGACGACGAGTGAGGCTCCAAGAGCAGGACTTCGACAAATCGCAGATGGACCCAAGCACCTCATTTGTATCAACTTGTCAGCTTCTTAGGTTTGCGCCATGCTTGGGCCGAAGGCCTTTCCTGCAATGGGTTGAACACTTGCAGCCTGATACTGTAGAGACCATCTCATCGCATTGAGTTGATGTTGTGTGGTTTACCTCCAACCCGTTGCCATCCTTTGAATATTGATCCTCTCTCAGGCCTCAGTGGCTGCATTCTGTATGAGGTCTTTCTGGAGAAGGAGGATCCTAGCTGTCTTGGGAAATCTCGGGAACCTGAAAGCTTCGGGATACCTTGACAGTGTCGTGAGGATGAACCAATTGGTTTCGAACTTGAGACCGATACGTCCGCGTTGACAGTGAAGGCCGATGGTTGCAACATTTGGGACAGAAAGGGGGGAACACACTTTAGTTGAACGACGTTGGCACTTGCATGCCTTGTGATGCAGGCTGTCACGCCAGATGGACTTCTTGACAGGCCGGCACCCACAGGAGCACATGTTTTCTTTTGTCTTTTCATCGCTCAAAGTCCTGCAGGTATTGCAAACAAGAGGATGAGTTTGTGTGCCCAGGCAAAGCTGGTCTATGTTGATTATTGTTGATTCATGTTTGTCATGTTTGTTCTTTATGATTAGCAAGTTGCAATCGTCTTCCTACAAGGCGATAGGATCTACTCGGTGAATGACTTCACAGCTCCTTTGCATGCAGCCTTCAGTGCAACCATATAGTTTTAGTTGGCCTGCCGCGCGTAGACGGTCCCAAACGTTCTTCAACAAACAAAAAATGGTCCCGAAACCTCACGACCGTCGACAAGCGGTGGACCATGTAGTTTACTGTACTTTGTGGACGCCAGCAGAGGCCAGCAAGGCGACATCAAATAGCTGTATTCAACCTTGTGTGAAGGACCATGAACTTCATGATGGGTAGATTAGATTCTAAGTTGCATCCGTGCACGTCGCTGCCTTGGCAAAGGTGTATATATATATATAATCTTGCTTCAACTCCAAATTGGTCCAAAGGCATGCCACTCCACGTGTGTAAGCTGTTTCAAGTGGCCGTTTTGTGTTCGGAAGGCTCTCAAAAGATCTTCCCCACTGATCGTATTCTTCGCCCAAGCTAAGCTGGACATCGTAGTCAGAGTTTCATGTCGGACTGTTGATAGATAGTAACTACAATGCTTCATCGTTGATATGGCTTTGCCCAACACGATCCAACACGTATTTAACGGAAAATAGATTGGGCGTCCGGGCATAATATATTTCCAGCACCAACTACTCTCAGATAGATTAGTCGCATCGGTTTGCACTGAATGTTGCCGTTACTTGCGTCGAAAGGTCTTCGGGAAGTCGCATCGGTTTCATGATTCCATGGGGTTTTATAATGCTTTGAGAACATGCGACATACAAATGATCTAGCTATTCCCTTGTTTTACGATGACTTTCACATGGGCTCTTTCAATGCACCAAAACATTCTTCAAACACTAAAGCGCCTTGGAAACAGGAACCTGATGTGACCCTGATGTGACCCGGTCGCATCGGGCCCCCCCTTGCAGATTAACAGTTTTCCAGTCACCTGATGTGACTAATATTGATGACAGTACCAAATGTGCTCAGAAGAGGGAAGCTGGCGATGCAAGTTATGTCGATGTTCCTTCAAGCCAAACGTATTTTTGTTGACACCAAGCAAACACATCATCGATATCACACAGGCGATGCAAGCGATGCATCATAAGCCACCATTTTGTACTCAGCTTCACTATCATGTCACGACCCTTGTAATGTAAGCAGTTGCTAAGTTGCGGTGGTGCTCGTCAAGTTGATCGTTACTGATGCAAGATTTGGTGCATCACATTCGCAAACGAGACATGATTTCTATATATTATATACTATTGCTATGTTTATTACTATTGTTATTATTTATTGTTATTACTATTATTGTTATTGTTACTATATATTTCCTGAGAGATTTTCTGGCCTCAGTTTTCTTTGAATTGCACTTGCATGAGGTCTCCGAGAATCTACATTTAGTACTACTCACCTACTCACTACTCATCTCTCGCTGACTGATCGAGCCAAGGACAAATCAGATATGATGCGCCAATTGAAGGAGTGGCTTGCCGTTGTCCAGCATTGTCGAAGTACAGACCAGTAGAACTCCCCAACAGGGGTCGAGGCTCAAAGAAACACATCTCACACAAGACACTCAGGCAGCAGAAGCTGGAGATTGTGTTCTCAAAGCTTATCATTGTAGCTTGCCTGATGACACCTATAGTTCAATTTACTGACACTGAGTTGCTTCTGATCATTTGAAGATTTGTAAGGAAGTCAAAATCTTGAAACGTCCTGGAAAGAAGTTGGGCGCTGCTACGGATCCGAAGACATTCGTATCTCGGCCGTCTCGGCTGAGCTTCTCTTCGAACATTTTATGCACATATCTAACTCTATCTATATCATAATTGTTGTTCATTAGTTTCTTGAACATTGTACTCTTTGACAACTGTCTTTAGTTCGAGCAGAGTTGAGCCGAGACGATCCTGAAGATTGCAGAAGAAAGCCTCATTGATGATTGGAACAAGCAGTACCCGAAGGCTGACTTTCTTTAGTACTGAACAAGAAGCCACTCCTGGACATGTCTATCAGCTATCATCTTAGCTGATTATAGGACCGGATATGCATCGGTGACACTGTGCTGGCTGTCAATGGTGTGGTTGACAAGGACAAGGCAGAAAGCATATCCAAGCCTCATGTAAGCATGGAGTCCTTGACAGTCATCGATAGATCTCTTTGTAAATGGTTTGCCTTCGAGGCCGTTCAAGAGATAGCCTCCAAAGAAGAGCTATTGCTGTTACTTGGCGAGCAAAGTAGAGAAAACAGACTCGAGGAGAGGGTCCTGAGAGGACCAAAGAGATCCAAGAGATTCTAAGAGTGTAAAGGGATCAGAAAGAGATCGGCATTCCTTTTGTCGTGAGGCGAATGGTGCGTGGTCCACGCCGAGAGATGGAGGCGGGATGTTAGTCAAAGTTGGTGGCTTTCAACACGTCTTTGGCATCGTTTGCTGCAGGGGGTCAAAGACACAAAATCAACTGCAATGTCCCTAGAGCCCTGCGGGAGACTCCGGATTTGCAAGTTTGCTCACTTTGTACAGAGGATGGGAAAGGAAAACCACCAGCACCTGAAAAGTGGCGCACTTAGCCAGAACGCAATTCCTAACATAATGGGAGAGGAAGGCTGATGAATTTTGTTGCCAAGGCCGACCTTGAAAATGTAACACTTGGACCGAAGGGGACGAAAGGAACGAACAGAATCAGGAATTGGATGGATTCGGCTTTGATGTTTTGTGATGTACTTGCAGCTTTGTTTCTTTGGTTTGGCCTAATTTTGCATAATCTTGCAAGACTTCAACCAGGAATTCCAGCAAGATTTGAAGAGCTCTGAGAGAAGAAAGCTAACCCGAACACGTTCGACATGAAGGTCCTGCATCGATTCCGCTGGGCACACGCTGTGAATAAGTGAATCTTTACATGGAGGTTCGGTGAGGTTCGAACGATTCGATGGCGGACAAAATGGCCTAGTGGTGGTTGCAAAACGTATGCAAGGTTGAGCTGGAGACATGTTTATACAATTGTTATCAACCATGAAACATGGGAAAGGCTACAGAGGGTGACCTTTGGCAACTTGCACCTGCATGGCAAACCATGCTTTCCTGAAATACTCTCAAGCACGAATTCAGAGTGGCCAAAAGGGCCCCCCACCTTGGAAAGCTGCGCACCTTGCCGCAGTGAGAGGTTGTTTCACAAAATAAAGATGAGCAAGAGACACGCTGCACGACGAGCAAGCAACGCAAAACATTTGCAACGACTGCATGTCAAGACCATTCTCATCCTTTCTCTGAAGTGTTCATTACTTGGGTATCGGTACCCAATGAAAGAACCACATTCAAGGCTTCTCAACAGCTCGTAAATGCAATGTAACAAACACAAGAGCAAATTGCAGCATAATGAGACATCAACATGTCATTTGAGTTTATCAAATCCAGACAGTTGCCGTTGGACAAAGTTGCCGATGAAGTGTCATGAAGCAGATCATGACACGTGGGCAGCGGCAACGACTGAGGTGTCATGCTGAGCAGACAAGACTCTGTACTGGCAATTGCCTAATATACTTTGTGATCCAACATACTGTCAACTTGAACATGCAGTTGTGGCCAACAAGAGCTGCAACGCGAAGCAGTTCAGGGATTTGATTCAGGACAGGCGGCGCGTCAACCAGTACCACTTGCCAGGACAGCCCATGACACACTCAGGCCTGACTCTTCTGGAGCTTCTCAAAGAGTTCGGCTTTTGGCTTGTTGTGCTGAAGTGACTCTTTTTTGGATTTGATTCTGCCCGTTGTGTGGCGTTTGTGTTCAGGCAGAGCGGCACCAGGGACACCTCTAATGGACGGGACTTCAGTGAATTACCGTTCAGCTTGGTGTTGATTTCACATGATTTTACCACCACAATCTGTTTTTGGTGCTTGTGGAGGACGGGCGTACCGTCTCAAAGTCCATGAAGATGAGCTCTAAGATGACGAGTGGTCTGACGAGAACGCAGCAGCGGCGCCTGCCTCAACGCGAGCCTGAGACACCTCAGTGGCCACCTATTGGCCTAGTGCACACACCTCATGGGTTTGCATAGTAAGCTTTGGGGGAACTGGCAAACCATTATGACGAACAAACAACATATGTATATATATACACTGTATACTAGAAACAAGACAAAAGCAAGGAAAAAGCAGCTAAGGCCAATGCCATTAATAAGATTCTATCAGGGCCCCCTTAATAGGAGCCCCATACAAAAATGATCTAAAATTGCCCTTGCCTTCTTTCTTTGATTGATTCATACTGTTTTCTTCAAAAGAGTCTAAAATATATGTCGACATGTGTCGAGACAGACCTCAACTCAGACTCACTATTCCGGAGAATGTAATCCTCCACTGATATCCATCCGCTGTTATGTCAGAACTGTGTTTGCAGCATGCACTTTGAAACAAATTATCAGCCTCTTCTTTTTTAGCTATACAACTTTGGAACTGCTGAGGATCCTTTCAAGTTCAGAGCTCAGACTGCAATGTAAGTGTGACTTAGCTCTTTGGCCTGTAGCCGCTAGCACGCACATGCTTAAGTGTAATTTTTCACGGACCCATGCCCTCTGACTCCAAACAATGCAACAACATTGTGAATACTCTTGACAAGACTGTACAGCGACAATAAAAGTCAACCTGTCACGCACTTTAGATGTGAAACGTTTCTTTTGGTCCTGAACTTCATGGTCACACTTATATATCTACAAAAGTGTGATCATTTTGTGCAATATTGTTGGCGTACCTAAAGCAGGGGTCTATGTTGTGCAAGACCAGTGTCCGTTTCTCGGCATTGGAGGTTCGTTCGTTGTTTTTTGCAGACAAGTAGCATCGTTGTGACACACTTGTGTTCTTCAGATCTCTGAAAAAGACTCACTTGTTGAAACTGGATCTATAGATAGACTCTTCTTATCCATCCCATCCAAACCAACACCTCATGACATGTTAGTGCGCATGCATGTTGATTACTTATTGACTTTAAGGGCAGGTTTGGCAAGCAACCCACGAAATAGAAGCACATTGCAGCAAGAACAAGATACTGCATCATGTATGTGACCACTTGCTGAATCCTTGCATTTAGATGGCTCCCGCTATTTGGAGCTTGAGGAGCAGGAGGAGGACGTCTGAAAAAATTACAGTATCACAGATGTCTTTGGCTCATAGATGCTCATAGTTTGGCCACCCATTGCCTTTGAGGAACTGGAGGCATCGCGGCGAAAAGATGTGAAGTCTTTGAGTGCAGAAGATGAGGAGGGAATGGCTGTAGTCAGAAAAGGAACGCATTGAATCTTGTTACTAGTAGCTTCTTGTTGGCCTCCAACCTAATAGCGATGGCCTCCAACCTAGTATATAGCTTCTTATTATTTGGAAGGAAAAGAGTTTGGACCGAAATTCAGACAGTATTGGCTCACTTTATCCGATGAGAGATGTGACAGGCACTTTTGGACGACCTGTTTATTCAAGCTCAACAGGCTGGGCAGTGTAGCGTAGCATCCTGAAGCTTGTTCCATAATGTTCCATACATGTCAGAAATGTGCCACGAGGATTGGCAATTTGGTGAATCGGTGTGCTGCCAGGAGAGCATGCGAGACCTCATGGTTTGCTGGCGGATTTGGTTGAGAAGTTGAGACTCTACACACTGACTTTGCTCATACTTTGCTCATGGTTGATACATCCCTTTGTCCTTCCACATCCAATTTGCTCCAATGCAGCTTAGGCATTCATTGAAGTGACTGTTCTGATATCTCCTGACCAAGCCCTTGGCAAGAGACTTACCACTTGCCCGCAAAGATAGCAAAGAAGGAGAAGAAGGAGGCTTAAGGCTTAAGAATCCCATTGAAGTTCCCGCTCCATAACCTAGGTTTGCACTTGGATGGCGTGCCAGCTGACATCTCAGTTTTTGATTACCATGATTGTTTGCTGTCCTAGTACTATCCACTCTGTCCTTCCTGTGTTCTGAGGTTACCGCAGCAGCTGCGTGGGAAATCCCATTGTCGACTCAGGTGTGCAACAATACGAAAGTCTTCAGTCTCCAGTGTTTGTCACAGGTGACGAAGATAGAGCCGCATGGGCTCTTGCAAATCTGGTCCCAGCCAGATCAGGCTCCCCTTGGCGATTCTGGAGCATTTGTTGAAGATGATGTCGAAAGTGAAACTGAACCAATACTCAGAGCGGTCTTTGGTTTTTGAAATTTTGACACATGTCAGTAGCTCAAGATTTCTGAATGTGCCTTTGGAATGCAGTTGGTCGTTGACGAAAACGCATCCCTGCGACTTGCGCGGGCAATTACCTTGGCTGATGCAGTGCGACAGAAGCGATGTGAGGAGTGATGTGAGCTTGCAAGCCTGTTCGCTCTCCATGGCTCTCCCTATCTCAGGTTGATGGAAGGGAGGGGCTCGATGGAGTGAGCTACTTGAAGAGCATCTTCCAGACCTACAAAATGCGCCAGACAGGCCTTGCTTGTTAGTCTTGGACCAGAAGATCGAACACACAATGCTGCAAACACAATCCTTCAAATGACATTATAGATCGATACGGATACCATCACATGGAGAAAACAATGTTCAAAAGAAAGAAAGTGAGCTGAGGTCAGGAGGTCATCACAGATTTTGTCCTCTGAGCCATTTTGGCTCAAGATTTGAAGAGGGGCGTGATCCGGTTTCGAACATGGATGAGTTTGAAATCCTGCTGTGCATTGTCTGCCAAGGCGTTCCAAGATGGGTTCGGAGGCATTTCAGGTTGGAGCGTGCCGGTGGAAGCAATCATTACGGCGATGTGGTTCTGAGCATGGCGAGCAGCCCTTTACCTACGGACACCGAAATGGCCGGTCTCACCGACTTGACGGCCATTGTTAGACTCTAGATTCTAGACAGTGTGCCTTGGACGCTGCAGCTTGGCGGGAAGTCAATGCTGGCTTTGGCAATTTTCCCACGGCCCGATTGCTGGCTCATGCCCCTCCTGAAGGGATCGCCGCAGCTCTGGAACAAATGAACAAATGGAGATGGAAGGGTGGGGGCAGATGGCGCTCCATTGGATTGGATCCTCCAACTAGGCCGTTGACAATGGTTGAGATGGTGCAAGCAGCTTTTCTTTGGCTTTGCAGAAAGTGTTTTGGGCTCGTGGACATTGACCTTTTAGCGCCAGGCGTTGTTGCAGGTTTGTCAGGTCCCAGTGCACCAGCAGCTGCAGTTGCACCTACACCAGTGGTCGTTGGTGGAGCCACGAAGCAGTTGGGAGTTCAGAAGGTGAAGGTATCTCAGATTACTGACTGGCTAGACGACGCGGAGTTGGAACTGGTGGGAAAAGCTGAGGTAGATGAAGCCTATGCTCAATACAGGTTGGTCATGGCTGCAGGCCCTGTCAAGGAGACAGAGCCCACGGCTGAACAACGCTCACACCCTATGCGAGGAGGACGCAACGTCAGCTGAAAGCAAAAGGTTTTCTACTCCAGGATGAGGGAACTTGGAAGCAGACAGAAGTTGCTGGACAGCCCAATTTCTATGCGTGGACTGCATGTTGGGATGTCTATAGGACAAGTCTGTTGATGCTGAAGCATGATCCCTTGGCGCCTGGAGGAGACAAGAAGCCGCCGGTGATCACATGGGCTGCGCTTGATGAGTGTTTCAGGAACATTGCAACCCAGCTCAGGCGTTCATTTCGAGGCAGGGAGGACGCGCTACGAGCCAACAAGAGGCTGAAGGTTTGGATATGACAGGCGCTGAAAAGGATGCCTCTCGTGTGCCAAAGGGTGCCCATCGTCTGCCTGCTCAAGGTGACTCCAAGGCGGCCAAAAGTCGGAGAAGAGAAAGAGAGAAGCGGGAAGAAGACTGGAGGAAGAGTCGCGTTTTGCAACCCGTGAACGAGTATGAGTTTTTACAGCTGGCATGGCTCAGAGGGCAAAGGAAACATCCAGCCCGAGGAGTTCTTCGCGATGGGAATCAGATCTGTTACAAGTTTGCAAAGGGTCAACCAGGCGCACGCCAAGAGCCATGTGGTGATGATCGCGCCCATGTTTGTCAGTTATGCCTGGGACAGCGTCCAAATGTTCAGTGCTTGAAGGGCAAGAGTGGAGACAAGGGTGGGGATGGAAAAGGAAAGTGACAGGAGGAGGAATCGGCGCATGACGTCACAGATTCTGGTGAGGAGCAAAAGGGTCTTGCACTGGAAAATCTGAAAGTTGCAGTTGAGTTTAAGAATGAACGCATCGATGTTTCAATGCAAGGTCAATGCAATCAGCTTATTTTCGCCGAATTCTTTCCCGGGATGTGAGGCTTCTCAGAAGCGATGTTCATGTCTGGCGGAAAGATCTCAATGCGTGCGACGTTGGACGGATATGCTGGGGAGTGGAACATCCTGGATGAAGAGGACTACAAGGCCATCTATGCGCCACAGTGATTGATCACAGGCACTTTGTTTGGGCAGGCGCCGGTGTTGAGGAGTGACGAATACCCTGAAGGTTGCGGTGACCCAGAAGCTGAGCCAATCAGATGATCGCAAGAATGGTTGCGTTGTGATATGTTGTGATTATTGTTGCGTAGCAGAGGAGCAACGTGTTCGATTGAGAATTTTTGGGACTCATTATTGTGGTTGTTGAAAGTCATGCAAAGATTGGTGAAGTTGAGAGGCACAAAGTTGGTGTGTCTACATCAGTGTGTGTACATAGCTTCATCGAGAAAGCCCGCCAGAATCTTGACAACAGCGTGCTGGATAAAGTTGGTGAGAAGACTTTGCCATGAGGTCAGGCCATATTTGCACGCCGCTGTCCTGTCAGGAAAAGCCTGGGGTGGGATTACGTGGATGAGACGTGGGTTTGGAGAACGAGCTTGGCAGCGTGCGTGTGGACTATGCATTTCTTGCGCAAAGCCGCTCAGATGTTGGCTTGAGTCGAAGTTGGGCAAGCAATGGTCGCAACAGCGCGCGTACAAAGTATTGGAGAAACGTTTTGGTGAGGGCTGCCGTAGAATACAGCGACCGCAGGAAACCAGTGTCTCAACGCAAGCTGGCTGCAAAGAGAGACGAGAGCAAGAGAACAAGGCGGCAGTGGGTGGACTGCGACTGCGTAATCCCAGAGATTTCCAAAGATGATGAAGTCTGTGATGATCAGGAGAGATGTGCCAAGTGTTACAGGCGCTGTAAGGAGGGTGGGTTGTGGCAGGAATTCCATGATCCATCCTCTAAGGTTGGTGCTGGTCATGTAGAATGCATGACTCGTATCAGGCTTCTTTTGGTAGAGACCCGATTCACCCACAATTGAAGAATTATGTGTTCGAGAGTACCCTGTGTCCTGCAATTGCATAGAGTTTGTCTTTAATATTCCTAGGACTTGGCTGCAGGACTTGGTTACAAAAAACAAATTTTGGAGACGAACGTGATTTTTCCCAGTCACCAACTTCATAGAGGTCTAAATGCAGCCTGTCATTTTGGATGTCATATGCAGCATTTTACCAAAGTAAAATTGATATGCCCAAACCATCCCCTTAATTCCAAGGAAGACTCTTTCAAGAACTACTATGTGGCTGCTCACTGTACAAGACCTACCCCACCTTTTTGCACAGAACCCTATCAGCGGGCACCTGGCCTCAGCCAAGCACACTATAGGCCCAACGTGCCCTCCATATCAGTCAACGCATTGGTGACACAGCGACCGCAAAGCCCCGCAGCTTTAGGCTTCTGCTAGCCTCCCAGACACCGTGAAGAGCACGATTGCGTTCACGTGCCTTTGCTGTTCATGCCAACTTTCTCTTGCTATTGCCTTACCCCTTTCCACGTCACGCCGAGTTTTCTTGCTTCCTTCAATCCGGCTGCGTGCGTGAAGATCTCTGATCTAAACTTCGCACGACCGGGGCATCCTGTCACACTACGCTTCACCTTGTTAACACCGTGCGTGGAGTTTGCCAAACATATTGACCAAGGCGGCCTTTCATAGCGTTTTGTGTCACAACTATGTACACATTAAAGGTTGCCTCTTCGTCGGCGTCATTTCCCGCTTGCTTCTCTCGACCTTTAGACTTGACCGACCACAATTGAACCACTTGCCATCGCATGGGGTTCCCTAGCGATGCGTTTTTTGGCAATTCCGGAAGCTATATGTCGCGGCGCTTTCCCGGACCCATTCCATCTTGGTGATCTATGACAACTAGGAGCAAGGAAGCTACCTACTAGTAGCTCCTGGCATTTCTATTAGGAACAAGAAGCTATTAGTAACAAGGGCGTTTCTACTAGGAGCAAGGGAAACTACTAGTAGCTCCTGGCATTTCTACTAGGAAAAAGAGTCTACTAGTAACAAGGGCATCGCTACTAGTCATCCCCAAGGTGTGAATTTGTAAGCCACTCTCCATGGCCCCTTGCGACAACTTCTCGAAGACCCTGCTGTGCAATTGGTGGCCACCGCAGCGAACTGTTGGGCAACATCCAACAGCAGTCTTCGCCTGGATCCAAGCCTTGGTCTGAAAGATGCTGTCGTGCACACGTGCAATCGCACTCTGCATTCTACTGGGACTGGAGCTTTACTCTGCCTTGAGCTTGGCTTGGTTCAAGGCTGGGTCAAGCATGCCGCCATGCCGCTCTTGGGCCCGGTCGCTTTTTCTTGGACCTGCCACTCGTCCTTGGTGATTCTTTCGCCGCCACTGACTTCGTCGCCTTGGACAAACTCAACAAAGCAGTCATAAGCAGTCTACATGCCAGCTCTCCGCTACGAACGTCTTTGCAGTCACGGCCTACCAGCTCCAAGGCCAATTGTTGCCTAGCCTCATGGACTTAGCGCGACAGCCCTTACGCTTGAGCACCTTTGCTCCTTCAGTAGCGTTCCTTCTTTGCCTTCTATTCGTGCCTTTTCTCTCCTCTCCAGCCGTGCACTTCAGCTCCTTCACACTGCGACCTTGGCATCCGCCTGCGCCAAAAAAAAAGTGCGTCCGCTCCCTGCTCTTTCCTGTGTGCAGCTCTGGTTTCCTGTGTGCATTCGCAGGTGTGCACATTTTTATTGTCTACTAGTGGGGCTGTACGACCGTGAAACAAGATTGAATCGCTGCCGGAGGCGATCCTTCAGAGACTTTGAAAGTGAATCTCACCTTTTGCAGGGAGGCGGGAATCCGCGGTCAGCACAATGATACACCAAACGCATGCTGTTCACTTCTTAGCAAACACTTTGTGGAAACACTGCAGTCCTCAAGTTCTGTTTTGTGGGTTCGAGGCAAAGTTCAAATTCAATTTCAAGCAGCGGCAGTGTGTCGGTGCCTTGATACCTTCAAGACTCTTAGCTCAGGGTTGACTGATGCGCTTGATTGCACTTGTGAGGTTGGGACCGCTTTGCATGTTGCAGTACTTCACAGGTGTACTGCACAGATGTTTCTTTTATAAAGAAAGGGTTGATCAAGACATGAACACTAAAGACTCGCTAACCACTGCAGAGTTTTCTCAGGAATGGGTTCGGCTTGCTCAGACGTTTGCTACAGCAAAAGGCTGATCCTGAACAGGAGACAAAAAAAGCAACGGTCCTGCCTGGAAATACACACGAATACCCTTCAAGCATACGGTAAATACAGTGCTGCTCTCAAACGAAAGAGACGGCTCACAGAAGGCCCAAACCATGGAACACATCAACAAGAACGCAGGAAACGGATGGAATGGACAGATTAGCTGATTACCTAAAGCGCAATCCAAACTTTGTAGTAAACAGTCAAGCAAACAATGACGAACTTTGAAGCGCTGCACAGCATAATTGTACTGTATTTGTACTGTTAAGCATGATGATAGATAGAGACGCATAGCATCGCACCGCATATGGCATGTTGAGACTTGACAATGGACATGCAGGAGTTCTACTATCGCTCTCGCGGTGATCCTGCATTTGCTCCAGCGATACATTTGGCAGCAGCACGTGATTTGATTCGCGAGGATCTTAGAAACAGTTAACCCAATCTCAGTATATAGATCCAAAATGCTTGCAGAGCAACTTGGGAATCGAACCAACTTGATTGAGTGCTCAACTGGGGCCTCGCCCAATGCTATGCAATGCTCACATGTTTAGTGGTTTTGAATCAATTCAGGTCACATCAGCCTATTGATAGAACACCGTGCAAGTGTGCATGTCGTCCTGTCCTGTTAGAGCCAAGATCAATCTGTAAACGAGAATCAGACACCACTCGTTTCTACCAGGCAGTCAGCAAGGTGAACAATGAGAATAATTTCACTGCTTTGCATGAGGACACGGAGTTGTTCGACAATTTGTGAAGACTCATCGATGCACCCTCAAGCTTTTTGAGGCTGCCAGTTATGGGTTGCAAAGATCTGCTCTGTGTCTCTTGAGAGCAAGAGCTGATCCAAATGCAACAAATCTCAAGGCGGGGGGTGAAAGACGTTCAGACATGTTCACAATGCCACGGTTAGATTCCACCTTTGTTGAAACAAAGGCATGCAACCTGGTCTCAAGATGTCTCATGCACTTTGACGTCAGATGCACACCCCCTTGCATTGCGCAGCTCGACAAGGGGATACAAGGTGGGCCTCTGAGTTTGCCAAGGCTGCTTTTCTGTCAGCACTACACTGCTCGAAGCTGTAAGCGAGGATGTGTCTCCTGCTGAAGAACCACGGAGCTGATTTGAAGGTGAGGAAAAACTGAATACAGTAATTGAACTGTTGCTTTGAATACCTTTGAGTTCTTTTGCAAAAAAACATTCCAATTTGATCCAATTGTTTGACCAAAGGCATCAAACCGGTTGCACTTTCTGAGGCTAAAGATGTCAACGAAGCCACGCCTGTCATTGTCGCAGCTTCCTGGCTGAATTGCGCTTTGCACTGCATACATGATACACGCCTACATTGGGCCTACTCTTGTGAAGGAGTCGGACCGTGCTGTGAATGCATTCTTGCTGTCAGAAGCGTTCTTGCCAGTAAACAGTAGTGAAGTCCATTTCCTAACGCAAGCCTAGAAGTGTTGCTTTAGCATTTTTGTGAGGGCAAATTCATTCCCCAAGGCAAGCGGTTTTAGTAAGGAATCGGAATACTGTAGAGTAAAGAAAGCATTCTTGTTGGTGGCAGTACGGAGTAGGGTGACGTCCAGTCTAATGAAACCGTTCGCATACATTTTCGCATGGAAACTTAATAGAATAAAACAGTATTGAGATATCTTGGCAGGTTGAACGAGGGCGGTTCAGGTGTGCAGCTCGGTTTTATCCAGCAGCGCACATAGCTCATATCAGGGTTTGCCGTTTGGGGACACTTAATTCACGAGGGAACGATGATTTCGCGTGGACTTTCGCTTGCGCAGGTTTGACAAGCTTTTCATCCTCATGGAGAAATCATTTGAAGACCTGCTCGTGGCGCGGTAATGCTTCTCAGTGAAATTGTGTGCAAGTCCGTGCAGGATTTGCTACTCCTTCTCAATCCCGCCACAACATACACTACCGTTTTGGGTCTAAGTCTTTTCGCCATTATTCGCAACCCAATCGTTTGGACAGGTTTCGAGACTATGTGCTAGCGTAGGGCCCCACACTCAGCTTTGGTGTCTCTGAAGTGACAGAGGATCCCCTGTACCTTCAACATGGCAAGGCCAGAAGTAATGCGAGACAACAGCACCAACGAAGTCCATCATTCGTGGAGAGAGGCGTGTCTCTTGTTGCATTGCATCCTATACAGGAATTGTCTTGGGGTTGGCCGTGCTGGAGGCTCTCGTGAAGGAAGCCAGCGAAAAGCCAGCACAGGTCCCAGCAAGCCTTAACAACAGGAGGCTACTTGAAGACCATTCAAAAAATTCATATGATACCTCCGAGATCCTCCGAGCATGTACCAAGCGTGGACAATCTCCATTGCAAAGCAGTACTTTGTAGTCTTCTCTGCCCTTGGCCTTGCAAGCGGGGCTTGTCTTCGACAACTGCTGCAAAGATTTGTTCAAACCAGAGAAAAGGGATGTAGGGCAATGTAAGGGCCCCTTCAATGAGGTCTCCTTAAGAGCCTTAATAAGGGGGCCCTTACTCACTATTTTGAATGTTCTTTGCAAAACGAGCTGACTAGGTCCGGGCTGCTGAGCACTGGATGGAGATTATGAACAATTCTGCCGGAGCGGGTGAGGACACTGGATGACTTGATTTGTTTCTTGCGTTTCTTTCTTGACCTTGCTTGCTTCCTAGGTCCTAGTTGTTCATGGACAATCTTGCAGTGTATGCATATAATATATATATATATTACAAGATTACAAACTATATATTAGATCGAGAGAGAAGGTCAGAGAGAATTGACACGACAATCCGCTGGAGGACATTTTGGATGCCCTCACTGTCCTTCCTCAAGCACAGAGTGATGCCTTCAACCCTGTCCCCAGGCGAATGTCTGAACTGTGCTTCCCTACGCTGTGTTCTTAACATCATTTTTTGTACTTGAAAGATAAGATGGACAGCAATTGAACATCCTCGCTTTGTGTGTGTGTGTGTCTGTGTGTGTGTGTGTTTCTTCTTGCATGCTAGAATGTCGTGTGACTCTTTACCATGTTCAGTGTTCACTGATTCATTGCTTCAAATTAAACATGTCACTTGTTCATTCCTGATACAGCAAGAATATAACCCTGCACATGGCTTTCTCACTTTAGCTGCATGCTCCAACACTAAAAGTACGAGAATGTCCTGGGAATGATAGAAACTCCTCTGCGGTCCCATTATGCAGCTGGACAAACAATTACCACCTATACTAGGCCACGGAGAGCCATCACACAATCCAGGTTTCCTACGGTTTCCTTTTCAGTTTCCTTTTTTCTACTGTAACAATTTAGCAACCAAATGAAGAAGCGTTGCGTCCTACCTAGGAGCTAACTTAGCCGTACTATATAAATTAAGTAGGCGCCTACTTAAGTAAGTAGTAGGGGGCAGAGTGGCCTCACAAAAAAATTTCCATTCGTCCCCAAGTTTCATCCACTCACTTTCAGGTCTCAAACCGGATGCTTTTAGCCAGGGACACGCACCCACACTTTCGGGGTGCTCATGTGCAGCTAGGGAATACATTGTGTTCGATGGCTTTTCCGTCACGCACCAGTGTTCGCATGTTTGCCTCTTGGCCACTTGCTGCTCATGGTCTATATGAATTGTGACACTGCATTGCTTTGGTTTTGCATTTCGCAGTCTAGAGCTCCACATGGTCTTGTGTGATTGCTGTTTCTGTGCGCCTGTGGCGCCTGTGTGTAGATATGAGCAACCTGATTTATTTACGCAAAGGTATTTAGTAAAGGACCCGACATTGGCATTGCAGAATTTGCATTTTACTTGGAAAGCGATAATACACTCATCAAAAAAGGATAACATTTTGATAGCATCATGTTTCATTATAGGAAAGCGTAGTTTGCATAGCTGCAGTACAGCTTTTTAACCAGAAGACCATCAGGGAACCTCGTTTCAGCTTAGTGTAGCCTTTCCCAAAGCCGTATTTGACTTCGGACTTTGGCGACAGGTTTGTCCGAAATGTAGCTGTAGTCAAACGATAACCTAAACGATAACCAAACGATAACGTAAATGTAGACGAACCTGTGCTACGAAACCAGTGCCCCACTTGTATCTGAAACATATCTTCCAAGCAAGCTCAAGACATGGCTGGTCTACTACTACTACTACTACCACCACTGCTACAACAACAACAACTACTACTACCACCACTGCTACAACAACAACAACTACTACTACTACTACCACCACTGCTACAACAACAACAACTACTACTACTACCACTACTACTACTACTACTGCTACTACTACTGCTACTGCTACTGCTACTTCTACTACTACTACTCCTGCTGCTACCACTTCTACTCCTACTGCTACTGCTACTACTGCCCCCACCAAACGGCGACAAGTCAAAAACAATGCTGGGGCTGTGTGTGTAGCGATGCCACCATAGAAGGCGATACCCATGACCTTACCACACAGAAGGAGTTTTGACCGTCGCACGTCTGCTTCCATGTCCAAACAGTCTGCTGCATTGTGAAAACAACCTTTAACCTAAGTAAGGTTCAAAACGTGGAAAACGATAATACACTCATCAAATTGAAATGTGCAAGGCCCACATAACAAATAAACAACGTCGCTCATATGTATACTAGGAGACCAGCACTTAGAATATTGAAGCTATAGGATTTATGAATTACTCTTTTTTGCACTTTCAGAGAGCAGGGTTTTTGACATTTGCAGATAGAATATGGCACGTGCAGATAGAATACTGATTGTACGGAGACGCCATGCGTGAACCTCTGCTCCAGCATGCCCTCAAAGCTGTGTGCAGTGACTACTGTATGTGATGCTGAGCACATACTGTACCACAGTATACTGCAATCCTTCATTCTTTAGGAGGATCAAGTTGACAGGATCACTTGTGGTCTCTTGCATATTCCAACTGTGGCGGCATATTCTTACTGCAATGCTCCCAACTAATTAAAATTGTCATATTCTAACTGCATTATATTTATTTAAACCTATTCTAACTGCCTGTCCCTAGTGTTGGGGCTCTCTAGACTCTAGCTGCATTTTTAGGCGAGCTCGGCTGCCATTGGGCAAAGACATGTTGTGCTGGGCTTGGTGAATCTTCCGGCTGAGTAAGCACTTTGTGACCAAGCTTTCTCCAGGTGTTGCTATGAAAGGACGTCCGAGTGGAAATATGACACGATTCTTGGATGGAAGTTGTTTTCAAAACAGTTATATGATTGCATCATATTGCATCTCGGTATTTCGCACATGACTTTGGCCCTTTGGCTCCGATTCAATTATATGATTGCAGAAGCAACTGCTGAGGGAAAGCGCTGTTTGGCAGTCCAAGCTATGCCCGGGTATCAAGAGTGGCTGGGTGTCATGGCCACAGTCCGCTGCAACGACAAATACATTGATTTGGTGCATTGTACTTGCAGGATCATTGACAATATTGATACAGGTACAGTAGGTACAGTGCCTAAACCATCGTTGCAAAAAAAAACATTCTCAGGACGAGGGGCTCGGGACCTGCATCAAACCGGGCCTTTGAGGCCCAGTGAACTCTTTTGCAACCTGCAATGATATGTGCATATATTTGCAACCTGCAGAACCTACTGGGCTACTTCAAGCGCGGGGGAGGACTGCCTCCATTTATGCAAGATTAGTTCAGATTCCATCATTTTGTCTTCTGCATGCGTTTGTGAACGCCTGACTTGAATCCAATTCGTATCAGAGGACTTCCCTTTCAGTCACCGCTTGTTTGACCGGCCTTTTTGCCCTGCGAGGCCCCAGTGAGAGAAACTTATCCGCGTCAACGGTCCGTGCGTGCAGCTGGCTGGTTGACCTATTTTGTGTACACATTGTATCACATTGTTTGTTTGCTAGGACCGAATATCTCAAGCAGGAGGTCGCTTCGCCATGCTTAGCAATTTTCCTCGTGTTTTCCCTTGCGAGCAGAACAAAGTGCAGTCATACCATTTTTTGCCAAGACAGCTCGCTTCAGATTGAGATTCACTCTTCTTGCAGGCCACCAGATCCGAAAGCACAGAACTTGTGCCAGTCAAGGTGAGACAGGCTGGTTTAGCTTGGCCAGACAATAGTTGAGGCCGTCGCTGAACTTTTGTTACTTGCAGTTGAAGCTGCCTGGCATCATCAATCCCGATGTTATGGACATCCTTGCGCTACTTGCATGAAAACAAGGTATACCCGGTTCTGGGAGCCGGGTGTATATGGAAAAGGCAGCCGTTTGATTTCGCAACCCTTCAAGCATGTCTTTGTTCTGCAAGATACTGAGGAGTCTTGTTTGATTGTCTTTTGAATATTTTCCACCAACAGCGAAGAGGGTCTTCAGCCATAGTATAGACTTCGGTTCCAAAGCAGGTTCCGGGGGAGGTTGCGGAGGGGGTTCCGGAGCAGCTCTGCAGGAGGTTCTGGAGCACGTTCCAGGGCACGTTCCGGAGGAGGTTCTAGAGCATGTTCCGGAGGAGGCTGTGGAGGAGGTTCCGGAGGAGGATCTGGAGGAATTCTTTCTGGAAGAGGTTCTGGCGCAGGTTGCGGAGCAGGTTCTCAAGGATGGGAGGTTGTGGAGGAGTTTTGGGGGAGTGAGTGGTTTTTCATGTTCAGCATGCGATTGTTCAATCGGAACCAATTCCGACGCAGTTGGGAGCCACCCTGTCTCCATGGGATCGGGGGGTTGGCACCCTTTGAGATTGCAGCCCTCAATTCCAATCGTGTAAGGGATATCAGGGTTAGTGCAGCACCGGAGTTTGACATTCATGATGATCAAGTGGTGAATAGGAGACAAAGTTGCCGCTTCAACAATTGCATTTCACTTGACAGGTTGCAACAGCCTGACGAACTCGCAAGAAAACCAACCTTTCCCATTCACCCCAGACCTACTGAAACAACTCAGAGTAGCTTCTTGTGAACGTCCATAAGGTTTTACCGCCTGTTTTGGTAGCTCCCTGAACTCCAAGGATCAAAAAATGCATGGGTGATCGCGTGCGGATGGTAGAGGAATAGACGGTATAAGATGGTCCCGATGCAGAAAACCCAGCATAACACCCTATAGGTCGTGCTTGTGGACTCTTTCGGTCTTGCCAAGGTTCACTGTCAACCACAACGTCTTGAGGAAGCCAACTGGACAGGCACATGCTGCCGATGTTGGCGTTTTGTATATATATATATATTACTATAAATTGCTTTCCGCTTGAGGCAATCATTCTCTTCGCATGGGATCATGTTGCCAGGCACGAATCACCAGTCGTGCTTCGAACTGACGGGACACACATGATTGAAAACCACCATCTTGGCGTTCTTTCGAGGTACTACTACTTGACGTACGTGTTTTACCAGGTGATCATTATCGGAAGTCTTGTAGCTGAGGTCCGATGCCTTAAATATAGACCCCTTTGGAGGGGGACTCTTATTGAAGGCACCATAATTGATTACCTTCCAGTTTAACTCTGTTACACATCTATGTGTTGAGGAGCATTCTTTGCTGCATTCTTGAGTTTTCTCAGGTGGCATCCCCCCCCGAGACTTTGTGGTGCGAGACTTATCAGGGACTTGCACTGCATTTTGAGACTTCCTTCAGACTGAGAAACATCTTATGCGCAGGGGCTCTCGGGTTCGTTGGAGCCTATTGGCGGTGCTGGCAGTTTTAGTCGCTTGGCGACGTAGCGCAATTAGATCATGTTTATTGATTCTTAAACTGCTGCAGTTTGCATGGATTTTTACCCTTGTAAGGAACTCTTCTATGAGTTCTGGGAGATGTGTGGTTTTTTCTGCTACCTACAGCAGGGGTGGGATCAGCATGTTGAGATGTCTTTGGAGCAGTGCATCAGTGCATCTGAAAATCTTCGCACACTTGTGAACCTTGTGAAGGTGGTGGCGGTATATTCTAAATCCCGAGACACCCAGCCGCAATTGGCAATACTTTCATTGCATTGCATGCTTCTGTTTCAGGGAGCACCCCGCAAGTATCTCGAAGTGGAACGAACACCTCTCAAGCAAATCCTCACATTTTCTGTGGCAACTAGAATGTATGCAATATGGTATTTGAATGTGTTTTTTTTTTTTTTTTAAACTTAATTAAGTAAAGCTGCAATCTCTTTTTTGGAGTGTTCCCTGTGTTTAGTTTCCGAACGGTTGCTGCTTTGTATGCTGTGGCTGGACCCCGTAGACTTGCTCCTGACCCAGACATGTTTCAGGAACTACTACAACTGGACATCAATTGGTTTGCTTATAGCCATGGCCCCAGATTATCCCAGATCATTGCCTCAAAGGGTGTGTTTGTTCCAGGCAGCACAAGCACATTGGTTTGATGCAATCTTTCTTTCTGCAGCCAGATTGCTGCTGAAGCCTTCCAGTAAACTGAAACATTCAAAGCTTGCTTGTCGAATGCGCTTCCTCACTAGTTTGCAGCTATATAAACCTTACGGAAGCTCACGATCCCATAAGTGTGGATGTTTTGCAGTGAGGCACTGGTCTGTTTGACTTACAATGATCACAGTGGGTTGCAGGATGATCTCTGATGTGTTTCTTGCTTCTGTCAAACTTGGTTTGGCCGTTTCCAACTGCGCATTGACATGGATTACGCAGGAAATGCCAATTTGGTTATCCATAGTTGTGCTGGCTCGATGGATTCAGCTCACTTGGAGCAGCTTGGAACAATATGACAAGGACACGGTTGGTATTGGTTGGCAATTTACTACAGTATATCAGCTAACCATGATGCCAACGACAACATGCCAGTTGGCCCTTTAGCCGATTTTGAACACTATATAAACAGAGACACACTTGGACAAAAACACTACCCACTGAAAGCGCCTGGAATCACCGGTGAAACGAGATTGCGTGGGAAAACCATCTTTTGGATTTGAGGCTGCAGAGCCTTTGGGTTGGTGCAACCCTCGATGTTGAAAGCATTTCTTCCTGCAGATGCTTTGTCGTTTCAGCATTGTACTTGCAGACAGCACACAATCTCAAGGTTGGTCAGAAGATTTTGCCCATCATGCAAGCATCTGTGTCGGCACACATTGGTGGGTGCCCAACCTGCAGAGTATGTACGTTTGGTCTGTATACAATTTTCAATTGCATTCTACGACTGTCTTTGTCTAAGTTCAGATTCCGGTGCTGCACTGATTTGGGACGCTTCATGTTTGTAAGATGAACTTTCTGCAGGATCATGTTTGTCACGTTGTGTGTCCTATTTGGCTTCATGAATGGTGCTATGGCACTTGAACTTGGGAGCCTTAGATGCAGTTCCCAATTGCATGGGCTTGGTATTTTGTGCCAGCTAGCTTGGTCCCCATACGGGAAAGCCCAGGAGCGAGACACCTCATCATAAGTCAGTTGCATCTTGGACAAAACTTTAGAGTTTGAGCTTTTTGTACTAAGCACAGTTCTATTCCTGTAAATGTCAACATGTTGGACACCATAGTAACAAAATATAACAAAGCATGCTGTTCAGTCAGTCAAATGAACATCATGCTCGTCCAGACGCAACAGATTGTCTTGTTCTGGCCGGCATTTTGTTTGCCTGCAATATTGCAGTGTAGGTGATGGGAGCTCTCAAGCTACTCCTCCTGGGCGGCTTTGTGGCATTTGCAGCACTTACCTACCCGAGTGTTGTGCATGTCTGTGTGCTCAGGAGATGGGGATGGGATTGACGCAACCCTTTCATTGGGTGGCGCTCAGGAGAATTCAGAGCACAACCACGGCATGAGAAGAAACTTCTGCACAGTGTTCAACAACGAAGGAATGGCTTGAACATATGTGTTTTCACTCGTCTTGCTCCGGGGAAGGACGAAGACATTCTAACGGCCTTATTTGTTTTTGTGGCCATGGTGGTTTTCTGCGTTTGGAGGCTTAGTTTTGCTCCACTTTGTGTGCTATGCAATAGATGCTTGTTCGATGCAAACTCCGGCATTCGAAGCCGTTCCCAGATCAGGTGTTTGTCCGGTGATACCATAAATAATTGTTATACAATTGTATATTAACTAAGTATTTATTTATATACATTGTTGTGAATTCTTTGTGTTCACACGTTGTGTGTGTGGACCACTGTGTGGACTTCGGAATAGCCTCTTTGACCTGTGGCCTGGTCGCTCCCATGGCTGGTGAAACTCTTGGCTCCACCATGTCAACGTGTAGCGAAAGAGGGAGTTGTTTTTTGAGGAAACAATGACTTATTATTCCGATTGGCATTATTTTTTGATCAACTGCATGTTCTGCTGTATTGGCACCACAACATTGAATAATTAATGGCGAATATTTAGGATCAGAAGTCTGCAACTTCTGAGGTTTGTGTCCTCAATTTGTTCATTGCAGTGCATGGGGAGGCGCAAAGGATCGGACTTGTCATTCCACTGTGGTGACTCAGCCATGGGTCCTAACTTATCCCCCACCTTTGCCACCTGCAATACACTGGCCAGACAAAAGTTGCGCTTCTTGATGTTAAGAGAGATATCAACCCTTTCACCCTTTCCCCTAGAATTCTAGACGCTGAGAACTACGCGTGGCCATGGAGTGATGCTACCTTTACACCCACTGATGTAATATGATGTAATACAACCCGACTCCTTGTACGAAGGACTGCGCGGTCAGTTCTCACACCCAGAAGCCTTTTATGGCTGTAAACTTGAATTGGTCCTGACAGTTGACCGTTGCCCATCCCACCTGCCACGCTAATCGGACTCGTGCATTCGATCCACCGCCTTCCCAATGGTGTCCTATGAAGATCTGAATGGTGTCCTATGGTGTCCTATTTTCCTGAACATCTAGGAACCAAATGAAGAGTGCCTTTAGGGCGGCGGGGGGAGCTTCCTTGAAGAAGCGTGAGCTATCCTGCGTCCAGTAGGTAGTAGCTACTTGTAGGTAGTTGCTACCTAGCTTCTACTAGCTACCTACCTCTCTAGCGGCCTACCCCCCAAAAAGAGATAAACATAACTATGTATATATTTGGCTGAAGCAAACGGGCTCCAACCAGTTCGATTTGTGACCGACACAGTTTTCCGAAAGAACGGTTTACTTGAAGAATGGGCGTGGTGGGGTTCGGAGGGCAAGAACGCGGAAACATGCAGCAGATGCGTGCCATCAGCCAGGCATATGATAGTGCCCAGGAGAAGGCAGGATAGAAGCACCTTCAACTTTGTTTGTGTCACACCGGGTCAAATATAGGAGCCGCTTTTTGCAATTCACTGTGGAGCGGCCTAAAAAAACGATCATTTCTCCTTTGCAGGCTTTCACATCCTTTCTACAGGCGGAGTGCTGTTCTGACAAGATAGCAGCTCTAACAAGCAGAGCACATGCTCAGGAAAGGGCTGGGATTTGCCTTCACTGCCTTTTAAGGCCGAACAATAGTAACAACATGTAGCAACAGTATTATGTAACAGTCAGACTTCCAAAAGAGTGCTTTTTGACAGACCATCCTGGCCACCACGATGCTTGAAATGGCGAGTGCACTTGCCCCAGTTTAAACCAGGAACAGTCCTTGGGTTGATGGAAGACATTTTGCACCGCTTTGACGCATAACTCATCCACACCTCACAGACCAGCAGCCCAGCACTTTGCTGGTTTCGATGCCGGATGGAACAATAAAGAGAGAACGCGAGTGTATAGGATATATGATACGATCCTCGCAAAAGCGATCAAAGGCAGGTGCAGGATTTCTTCCGTCAACAGTTCTACTCATTTGTTTTCTTTCGCGGGATCATCTAAACACGCATTAGAGAGGCGACACGAAATGTCAGTCATTTTCATCCTGAGGCCACATCGCATTAGAACCTACGTGTTTCTGCAGCTCGCGTCTATTGCAGCCTGGCTGTTGCTGCTTCGAGTACACTTCTTAGTGGATCAGCAAGCTCGATAGGCAAGATCAGACATATGTTTTTCGTTCATCTATATGTTTCAATGTTGTCAGGAAGAAACCATCAATGTTTTGATACCTACGGCATTGCTGTGGGGGTCAGCAATGCTGGGTGATGCTATCCTTGCCGGGCACCAGGAGGTTCTCCAGTTCGTATGGAGCAATACAATGAGTAATTGAGGTAGGTGTCCTGAACTGGTCCTGTGTTGCAGTTATACATGATGTTACACGCTTACATTATGCATGTACACACTATGTATTGTGATTCCTTGGTTTTATCTTGCATGCCATTTAGACCGACAAATGTTCGTTGTTTGCGCGAGATAGGGATTGGAAACTCATCCTTCCTGGTGAAGTGAAGTGTAAGTGTTTGGTGTCCTTGACTTGCTATTCTAGTGCTCAAGGAGTTGTGAGTCGTGAGTGCTGTTATTTGGGTCTTTCAGCCGGCTCTTTCTTTGTAAAACATCTTTTGCACTGGCACAAAGGCTGTTTCAGACTGAGTGCGAGAGAAGCTCACTCTCAAACTTGGGTTTTCTCCTTCTCGTGAAAAAGACCTGGCACTGGCACCTTTCCAGTTGTCCTTAAAGAGAAGTTATATAACTCAAACTTGTGAGTTGTTTTTTGTTTGAAGATCTTGAAGCTCTTGCGGTGTATTCCGACAATTAATCTTGTGACACGTTGTATGAACGTTGGTAGCGTCATGAACACAATGAAGAAGATGCAACAGAACGGAGGTTCATTGAACATGGGACTCAGGTCCAACGCCCGTGGATCAAGTCCAAAGAGGACTGCTCTTGTGGGTTGCGCAGTCGAGGACATTTGCACCTTTAGATACCTACCTTCTTAATTCGTCATGCTTGGCAAGGCCGAATACTACTTGTGGATGTGCTACAAGGACAGCTTGGTGTGCGATCTTTTTGAGAATCCACTTGCAATGTATTTGTCCTCCATCCAGGAAAGCTTTGATCAAGCCAACCTGATTGCCGCCTGTGACTTGGGAATGCTGTGTGTAGTGTAGTTTTTGCCGTGTTTGCAGTGTTTGGATGATATGGTCAGAGCAGCTGCTTGTCTGAAGAGTGGGCGTATCACCAAAGCGTGTATTTTGTTCGCTGCTTTCAGCTTAAGGCTGACAGAGATGCAACAGATAGTATGGACGGCAAGATCTCTCGCCTCAAGCGGGACTGCACCTTCGATACTCTGCGTGCATGTCGTCGCTGTATGATTGAGTCGGGCGCGCCAGCCATAGATACAAGAAGCCAAAATAATTAGATAAAGCAAAACAAAGCAAAAGGTAAAGCAAACAAAAAAGCAACAACATGTAGCTGTGCGTGTTTGTCGCCTTTTTTTCTTTTTTCACATTGTTTTGTCCGCTTTATTTTTCGCTTGTTTTTTGTTTCGCTTTTGTTTCGTGTTTTTTTTCTTCGCTTTTTCCCTAGGAGCGTACATCAAATATTGCTCACGGGTAAAAGTTCTCATAAGTGCAGAAGTAGTACCAGGAAAAAAACAACACATGCAAAAACAAAGCAAATTGCGATGCTTTTGCATTTTCATTTGCGCTTGTTTTTTTTTTTTTTTTCGCTTTTTTCACAAAAGTATATAATTATTTGATGGTTGGTCATGTATGGCTGCCATTGCCCAACACAACTGTATGATGTGTCCGTCACGACTATGATTATCTAAGATTGTTTTGCAATATGTTTGTAGAAGTGCAAATCATGGAAGCTGTATTTCAAGCATAAAGAATCATAAAAAGAACGTGTCCAATTACAGGACAACAAGAACCTCTTCAAGCAAGTGACAACGGCTGCTCGGCAAACGCAAAAGATGTTCCTGCAATAAGTACAGCTTTTTTTGCTTTGTACTTATATACATTTTACTCATGAACAGCGAGGAGATCAATTCGCCGGGGTCTGAGAACTGATGATTGGCAACAATGCCTGATGCTCCCCACCAGTTCAAGTGTCAAGATACTCAGAATGTGATATGGTAGAATATCCTGCCACAGAGACAAAAAAAGAGGCAGAACCATGGAATGATTGACACAGCCTGTGCGCCTCAGGATCTCAAGACACATATCTGAGCAGAATCAAGTCCTCAACCAGAAGGTCCAGGCGCTACTGTATTTTGATGTATTTTGTCGACACTTCATCATTTGTTCGATTCCAAAGGTTCCATCTCTCTTCAGTCATATTGTATAGTGTCTAGTAATGCTCAAATTTTAGACGTAAAGACAGTGAAGATCCATTCTCTTCATGCACATCGCACTGTCGCATGGTAGTTTGTCGGCAGGACACGGCATTGTCAGATTTCTGTCCAAACTTTGTCCGATCACTTTGACACTCTTTTCATATCTTTTCTCGTAGAACATCTGTTTTCCTCACATCGACCACAGAGGTAGCTAGGTTTTAGATAATTACCAAGGAATGTCGGGCAAACTTAGCCTTTTTATGCCTTGTTTTCATGTGTGGTGTCTTTTCAAATGTGCATTCTTCCCTTGCATGTTGTGCATTTCCTTCGTTCTTGGAAGTAAAGCCAAGCTTGCGAACCCGCTTGACATCTTGCAAAGCAATACACAACACGTTTATGCTTTATACAATTGTTTTGTCGATTGTTCTTCAGCAAATTTGACAACTTTATAGCCTATGGCAGCGAACGCATCGTTCTCGGATCGTGACCTGAGTAGAGCTGACTTGCTTTCCCGTGTCCTTGATCCCCTGGGCCTGAGCCTCCAATGTAGTTGCAAAGGTGCCAACTCCACAGGATACAGACACAGAATCGAATCATAATGGCAGATAGAATTTAGAATCATAGTCTTTGACCTGTTCAGGCAACATAGCTATATAACTGTTTCAATGCCGTCCGATGTTTGATGGCTGCGTGTTTACACCAGAATCACAACCTTCAGATTTTAAACTGCCGCCAGGGCATGGACAGTCGTCTTCAAGGCCGGATGAAACCTGCCTCTACTAAAACTGCATAGTCTCACCCAAATTCAGCTTAACTCATTTTCAACTCTTGATGTACTGTATGTACTGTCGACCAGTTTGTCACCTTAGGAGTTTCAGACATTGGCAGCAGGTCACAATGCGAGGGCGACAGAATCTTCAGTGACATGTTCTTGAGATTATTGTATACTGTATGAGTACATATATATATATATACACATACTGTACATACTTAGGACTTATGACTCATATGACTTGTGCCAGCAACATGAAAGACCCACCATCTTTCATTTTCAGACGCCCAAACTCTACTGCATGTCACTTCACTGTGTGGAAGGCCTTGAGAGTTTGATAGAGGATTTGCACACGAGTATCCAGCACATTGCCAATGCACGAGGCTCAGAGATTATCGCACCCACCTCGACATTTTTGGTCTCCACTTCTAAGGCTCGAGTTCAAGAAAGCCCACACCTGCTCGAATGAGACATAATAGGGTCACAAAAGACCTGGACTATATAGACAAATTGCCAGGTATGTTATGTGGATATGAGGATATGAGTCAGAATTTGCCCTGAATTGATGTCGAAGACACAATCACGGGCAGTGGCCGTGTGCGACAGCTGGAGAAAAGTCAAAGCGCTAAGAATTGTTCTTTAGTGCTTCAAAGTTGCAACAAACTGCAATGTAATTGAATGCTTGTAATATTTTCGAAACCAAAAGCATAGAATTGCTGGCTCTGAATCACAAATGGTTGGATTCCAACGGATTCTATCAGTAATCATCTCGTGTTCTTGTGGACTTAACTGTCATGTGTTTTTGCATTGAAATCACCAGCAACCCTTGTACGACTTGCATGAAAAGCAAAGCGGAAGAATGCATGTGGTACATGTATGCAAGCTAGCAATACAGATCATGTTTCTGGTGACAAGCAAGCATATTCAAAGCCTTCCCATGACAATCCAAGCAAACAACACTGAGCGTAGCAGGGTGACTAACACCACTCCGCAGAATCTGCAAAGCGGTTTCTTGAACGAGGCCCTTTCTCAAACACACTCCCTCCGCAGGTTCAGGACTCACTCAATTCCGCACTATTTTGAGAGTCAGGTGTTCATGGCCTATCCCACTGCTGGGCATGCAAGCCTGACCTGTTTTACTTTCACATCTTCTGCATGTTCACTGTGGTGCCAATCACCGTCAATTCAGAACATGAGAACACGAGTGCATTGCCTTCAGGCAGAGAGCAGGACAAAGAAAGCCTACCCAGCGGCGCGAAGCTATGAGAGCTCGAACAAGTGTGTTCTTTGAGTGTAGAACCCAGGGATGGTACAAGCATGTCAAGGTGTAGCAAGGCCTACTCGTAAGGGCCAAGCCCCAAGTAACTACCTGAATGGTCCAGCCCAGCAGCTCAACTTCAGTTGCTTTTGGCAAAACTCAGTGCACTGTGCACTCTATGTACATCTGGAGGCGCTCTCTTCAAGGACCTCAGTCTCATCTCGAGGAGCACCTGGCACCTCACCCCAGGTGCACCATGCACGCTATGTTACAACTGTGATCTTCTGTGACATTACAGCTTATATATATGATTATATATGCTTAATATTTATATATATATATACATATACTGATTATCGTTTGTGTCTAGTTTTCTACCAAGCATTCGCTGCTTCTTTTTGAATATCCTAAGTGTTCTTGAGTTGATGAGCCTGGCTCGATCCGCGCTCAGCGTCCAATGTCCGTCTCCGGCCTGGATCACAAGAGCATTGTTGCCATGAGCCAGCTTTGCACTGAGGAGACCCGAGGGAATCATAGCGGCAGTGCACAGAGGGAGCATAGTATGCAATTACTAGTAGCTTCTTGTTACTACAGTAGTAGTACGGCCAGGAGCCCCTAGTAGCGTCCTTGCCCCTAGTAGCAAAAAAAACATCAGTCACCAATTGGCAACCTCTACTGACACTTCATTGCCCTGGACTCCCTGGACCCTAGCACCCACGTCTGGGGAAAAGACATGTGTAGAGTTACAACTTCAGCCAAGAGCTCTAGGACTTGGACGCAAAGATGAGAGAGAAGTCTGCCCTATCCAAACAGCTGGCGGACCTAAAGCGAGCAAAATTGCAGTCGCTTGGCACCGGCATTCGTAATCACTTTGTTCTGAAGTGACCTTAAACTCCTTCCATTCCCACCAGCCATATTATGAAGAGTCGTGTTATACATCTCGCACTCAGAACCCAGGTATGACACAAAGCTGCAAAAGAAGAAGAAAGAAGATGATAGCGTGATTGTGCAGACCATGGATATGGACTGGTGATGCTCAGACTTATGTTGCAATAAAGATCAAGTTGGCAAACTTCTCATTCAGTATAATGTTCAAAGTCAAAGCCTTCTACATATCCTGACCGAATTCAGCTGTTGTGACAGGAGAAGAAGTTGCAGACGCTCAACAACAGCCACTCAGCTTCAGTTGCCAAGACTTGGCAACAGTGTTTTGTTTTCCGCTATATGTATATAATTAATTACCTGTCATGGGCTGTTGACATTTGACAGGCAATCGGGTTGCAACCGCGGAGCTTTCAGGCAAGCCCAAAGTTGTGTGTTGTGGAATGATGGGCGTTTGCAGCTGTTTCACAACCCCAAAAGAGATGTGACTATAGCTTGATAGTTTAAACGTGTACAAAGCAAACGCTTATTTCAAAACAATCCAAAAAAAACAACAGAAAATCGTTTATTCATGGACTGTTGACGTCCGAGCATCTTGAGAAACCACGTTTTTGTTTTACGAGACTTTGTTTTTAGTTGATTTTGTGTTGTTTTCTTTGTCAAAGACTCTTGGTCCAAACAAGGCTTGGGAGCTGAGAATGAGCGCTTGCGTCAAGACATCGATGCGTTGAGGTCGCATTTGCAAGAGGCAAATCGGCGAACACCGAACGGCTTAGAGTCTTAGAGGGGACCATGGGGGACATGAAGTGCCATGAATATGTCTTTATACATTGTATATAATATATGTAATAAATCGGCCATGATGAAGGTAGTAAGTTTAGTCAGATGTGGTGAGGAGGTGGCAGATATTGGAATAGCAAGCTTTGATAAGATGAATGAGTAGCTACTTTGAATAGCCACCCGCAAGGTCCTGCAGGGATGCAGTGGAGTTAGGTAGAGTTGAGGTTCTTCAAGGAAGTCCCCCAGTACAGGGGGGCAGAAGCTTTCTTGAATGAAATGGTTCCTTGATTTCAGGGGAAATAAGCTTTAAGTCTTTAAGTGCAGTAATGAGCACTGCAGCACTAGGCAGGTCCAGGTCAAACCTGTGGCTGCTTGCAACTGACAAGAGCAAGATTCGAAATACACATTGACATGACTGCACAGTAGGATCTTGTAGATTGTAGATGAGGTGCCTGCGGCAGCAAGTTGCTTCGACCTTCTATGGACTCGCTCCAAGCCTCATATGCTGAGTCTGCAGGCCACAGTGGCCTATGAGACGGAATGCGAGGCTTTGGAGGGACTGAAGCAAGCTTTACAGGCTACGCGCAAGGACCTTTCAAAAGTGGGTTGCAACATGCTCCAGACAGTTTTGGAATGATTTTGGTGATTCTCGTGCAATGTGCTGACTGGCAACTCTCGTGACTCCTGAGGAGCTCGCTGCTGAGACAAAGCAGCGGGACGTTGTCCAGCAGGACGAGAGACGTTATTGCTGTCCGACGTTGTCCGAGCCATTACAGTTCCAAGTGATTTCAAATCATTTTGCTACAAAGACAATTTTGCAAATCTTGCAGGATCTCCGGGCCTCAAGAACGGCCCAAACCCTCATGATTAATCGTCTTGATGACATTGAGAGAAGGCGACCGCAGGGCCTATGCCATGAGAATTTTGAGATGATATTGCAACAAGTAAAATTCAATTTCTGCGATTTGCTCTTTGCCTTTCACAGAATAAAGTGATTGGTGATTGCAGGAATAAAGCGCTGAAGAATTGTGTTGCCAGTGCAATGAGTCGCTGATTCGCCGGCTAGCCTGGAATGCCTTCATGTTAGCACTCGCTTTCATGCTACGTGTGTAAGATATTGTAACAACATACTAAGACTCAGTTTGCAAAGTTTGCACAAAAAATGTTATATAGTTTGACTCTTGGCACACCTGGCTGACCCAGCTGACCTGGCTCCCGGATCTTGTGGGTGCATGGAAAGTGGTGCCTGGTTGCAAAAGTTGCATGTAGAGCTCAAGCTGTGCAAACACAGATTTTTGCTGTAGCAGTTGATGTCAAACTTCAAAGAAACGCGTGAACTCACACTAAGAGGCAGACATGGTTTTGGACTTTGCTTTTTGTGATATGCTGGGCTCACAGCTGGACAAGTAGTACTGCCCACTGTGAGAAGTCCGAGGCCCTCATTCGCGCGATTGCTCAGATAGGACGCAGCCGTTTGCGAAGCTTCAGGTCTACTGGAAACCATGAGCGGCCTAATGGAATACAATGGCCAAAGCCTCAGTGCACAACCTCTCCATTTGTGCGAACAAATTTCATAGAAATCAAATAGCTGACACTGACGCATCATGAATCGTGAGGCTCTGCCATTGTGGCCATGACAGGTGAGAATTGTGCCGGGAACTGAGCTGACGCTGCTGCGAGAATCTTTGAGAATCTATCTACAGTGATGCAATTTCTCTTCCGATGGTTTGAGTGCCCTGATACAGTGGGGATGAGAAACAGAGAGATGGTAAGATGTTCATTAGGTGCAAGTGCAAGCCCAACATTTTTGAACCTTTGCCTTCTATTCAAGGTGGGCATCGCGGCAGATACGCGCCATGGAGTGCGGTTCTTAGGTGTAACGGATGCTCGAGCATCCGCCGAAATCCAACCTGAATCATTGAAAATGTTTCTGTGTCTTTCCAGCTGTTTTCACTCGTGTTGTGGCTGAGATTCGGCAGCTGCAGACAGTCAGCTGTAATAGGTGAACGTCTCAGGGTGGTTTGTTTTTCCTTCGTGCACCTTTTCAGAACAGAATCAGATCTGAAGTCGTCTTTTGACCATATTTGACCCATAGTGTCTCGACTGTTGCAGGCAGAAGACTTTCCAGGTGTCAGATTCTGAGACGCAGTGGATTTGGCTCAGATTGTAGACGAAGCATGCGAGCGATCTGTCAGGACAGATCAATGCTTTGTGGGGCTGGCCGGGTTGGCCACAGATGTGGTTGCCTCAGCGACATGCTCCTTTTCTCTTCTGGCAGCATGGGTAGAAGCCAAAATATGCAGATTCTCAGGCTCATGTACATACTTTACACATCCCTCCGGGTTTGCACTCGCTCGTAGGGTTTGGGTGCCGATCTTTGACTCTGGTCCCTGTGGTGTCATTCCGTAGTTACATATTTACAGTTACATAATATATATATATACAGTTATATAGTTACATGGGTAGAAGCTACTAGGGGCTCCTGGCATCGCTACTAGGAGCAAGGACGCTACCCTGGAGCTCCTGGCCTTACTACCTCGAGCAAAGGGCAGCAGCATTCATGGAGTAAATCTATTCCGGTCGCTTCGCGACGATAACTGCCCAGACCATTTGCTCTGAGAGACAGCACAAGGAAACATTGAACACCCCTGCCATCCACTGCATAGTGCTGTTCATCTCTAGGTCTTATGTCGATCATGTATGTTGTAAAGTTTGTTGGTTCAGCTATTTGAACAGAGTAACTTTAGAAGATTTGTTCCACTGTGATGTTCTTCACCTTTTTGATCCTGGTGCCATTTTGGTCTCAAGAGACTGGCACTGGTGACCCAGTTCACTTTTGCCCCAAACCCGCCCACCCTGTAACATGATTGAGCTGCAGGTGTGGGCGCATGTTCACGCACTTGGTCATAACCGCTCTCCTGGAGTGTCAACTTGTTGCTTTGCTTGTGCTCGCTATTTTGAACCCTCGCTTCCTGTTGGTGATGCGCTCACTTGAGACAGGCGGGTCGAGCTCAGACAGTTGTGCAGGCATCTAGATGTAAGACCAGATATTGCTCACCCCCATGCCTTGAGCAGTCCAAAAAGTGTGCGATTGGACTGCTGGAGTGTTCACATGTTCAGTTCACGGTGGAAGGGAAGGCTCCAGTCGACCGCACGAATCGTTCCTAAATTTAATCACTCTTTGTTCCACCCGCTTGAAATTGTACCTTAACAATGCTTACGTACAGTGCTTTCTCCCATATGCTGCTTCTTTCATTCATCCACTGCATGGTACCGTTCATCTCTAGGTCTTATCTTGATCATGTACAGTAAGTTGTATAGTTGTTGGAAGCGTTGATCTCCAAGTCCTATGTCGATCATGCTTATTATCGTATAGTTATGTACACTCAATCTATCTTTTACTGTGTGTCTCATTGTGGTATTATCATCACCACGTCCATGAAAGCAACAAAAACGTACCACTTCATGTCCTGTCCTAGATCATATGGCGCACCACTTCCACATAAAATGTTGCAAAGCCTTGCGTAATTTTCACAGTGTTTTTGCATGTTCTCTCCCACCACTTCCCCTCCAGACACACCTCATGACGCCCCCCCAAAGTTAGAGCTACAGGAACTCAGTGTTCGCACCAGAACTTATACACCCCCCTCAGCACCTCCAGTGCGGGCGGTTCTTTTAAATCGGTGTTCAACTGCTGTGTCTCGGGGCTGCTCTTGTGCTTCTGCTGCTTCTATGACCATCATTGTTAACTGTTAATATTTATACAACTTACTCCTTCCGCTGTTTCTCGTACGCAGCATTTCACTGTTGATCCCCCATTAGACAACTTCCGCACTGTGTCAATAGAGTCAATACTCCAGACTGTAAAAGGATCACATACTTGGACGTTTCTCACTCTGAAGTTACTTCTCAAGGTTCAGACGCTTAGCCAGCTCTTGAACTTCCGGATGAAGCTCTTCACTCTTCGCGAGGCTGCGGACTCAAATATTAACGGGTGCACCTTATGAATTCTTTTGTGATAAGTGTTGATTTGGCAATGCAACACGAAAGTGGTGCAGGAGCGAAAGATGCAGCCTCGCATGATTGGCAATATGATCTCTTCCATGCTGTGCTCCGTCCAGCTTGTATTGTTGATTGACAAGGACACAGAGTCACAGAGATGCACAAGGTCCTTTGATGGGAACCATTTGGTGTCGCGAGATCAGAGCAGTTACTATATAGTATGTTGTGAAAGGTACGAGAAGCGGTTCGGACCGTGGTTCACAGAGCCGGTCGTCGCCGGCCTGGACGACAACCACAAGCCGCCATGGCCTCTTGCATCAGCAGTTGGAAAAGGTTCTTGCACGATTGGTGATGTCAAAGGTTCGTGTGCGCCTTCGACTTCATTGGATGTCTTTCTACTGCGGAGGAGCGTATGAAGCACACACACACACCTGTTTGCGTGCACGCCATGTTTTTGTGTTGTACCATGGCTGTGTGAGACGAGGCATTCTAATGTTCTCCAGACATCTTGATATACAGAATGAAGTTGATTCAGCTTGCACAGCCCACATAGAGTCTTACCATAAAAGCAAAATCAAAGCCCATAACGAGTACCTGCAAACGGATTTTCTGTTTCTGTCAAGGACTTTGTTGTCTCTGGCACCACTTCTGAGCAGCTCTTTGGCGTTTGCGAGTCCTTCTGGCGGCCTGGTGGGGAGACCCAACAGCTCACTCCGTTTTATTGCCTTCAATCAGAAGCTCATCAGCTCTCTAAAAAGGCTATAGCTGTATATATATTTGTGCATTGTGGTGCTATTGTTGAAGGTATGAACAAGGATGAGCTCTTTGAGACCCTTTCCCAGTGCGCCCAACAGCCCAACGGGGAAGAGCTGGCAAGCAATATCGAGCTGACGTGTTATACAGGACGAGCCGGGACCGGCCGACTTGATACACAACCTCTATGCCAAATACGTTCTGATCCGGAACAGAAACCTTGTATACTTTTATATCAGATCTCTTCTCTTGTCAAGGTGTCTACTATCTGGTGTGGATCGTGACTGCCTGGCAGGCATTCCTCTTTTGTATCTTGCCTTTGTATGTCTTTGTTAGACTTGGTCAGCAACGTAGCACGTGGTCTTGCCTTGACAGGCTGGGGTGGTGTGGTGCACGTCATTACGCCAGATGAAATCATTACCAAGAAGTTGAAGGGTCGTCCAGCCCTTGGATCAAGCATTCATAGGAGCTGTCCCTTTCTTGACCTTGACCTTGTCCACCTGGAATAAGGCATGGACTAGCACTTGCAGTGAAAGTGAGAGAGTGCCCTGTGAACGAACACATGCACAGGCTGAAGCTGAAATTGCACTCCTCTTGAACGAGAGTATACAGTATTCATCTTGGTGTATAGTTGAAGGCAGAAGGGTCCTTGAAGAATATCTAGGCGTTGCATACCGTCACATGTTCTCCATGTACCCACCTATCCACATGGCATGTCGACCCAGTGTGGCCAGCTTCGATATTCGCACCTGCTCGTAGAGGCACGGCAGTCACAGATGCCTGAAAAGAGCACAAAACATGTCCGCCTCCCTAAGTCCTGTGATCTCAGACTGTAATGTTTACCTGTTGTGTTTGGGAGTTTTAGTTTAGACATGTCTAGACGAATTCAAGTCGAAATTGCTTGGCTCAGACAAATTCCTTCTGAGGCAGAGAGGCTCAGGGCAGCTGCTTCGCGGCTGTCACAGTTTCTTGTTTCACCCCTCCAAAGATCCATGTTATTGATGCATCCAAGCTTCATTAGACATGCAGTCTTGCAAGCCTTTCAAGCAAGGCAAATGAGACGAGCCAAACACTTTCATCGCCGCAGCTCTCTTTGCCATGCCTCCATGGAGCGTGACGGCAAAACGGCTGTTCGCCCGTTCCAACCGCTGCTCTCACCGCTGAGTCGAAATGGCTTGAGGCCCAAGTGGCCAGAGTGGCCGAGCCGCTTGGAGCCTGTCTTGTCATCTCATGCTAAAGCCAGACGGAGCGAACGCAAAGCGGATAGCGAGCTATCCAATGAGTTGCGGACTCAGAGATTCGTTGCACAGTCCTTTATGCCCAGCTGCGTTAATCCCTCGGATTGAATTAGTCACACTAGCTTGGGCTCAAGAATCAAGGAGCATTGAGGGGTTTAGGCGAGAGGGAAGTTTCCTGTCCCACTCACACTGAGACGTCAAGGACCAAGAAGACCCATGGTCAAAGGTTCCCCTTTGAGCGGCAACTTTGGCCCTCAATGTATTTTGCTAGTTTTTATATATGTTGCATCCTGATTGCCAAATTTAAAGTTGTAAGGAATACCGCAATAAGCATCAAACAAATGGCTTTTCGTATCTTTTGTAGTATGACGGGCGAGGCAATGTGTTGCGTTTACGTTTGGTGTTGTCATTGTGTGTCATTGCTTGTTGTTTGCTCTCATGTTTTTCTTGGTGTGTTGTCAAGTATTACTTATATATATATATGTGTTGTGGCTATGCGTGGTGTTGCCATTGTGCGTGTGTCTTGTTGTTCGCAGTTTGTTGTCATGTTGGCCACTGACCGGACGCAGCTGGCGGGACGTTGTGCTTAGTTGTGGTTGTGTGTGTGTGTGTGCGCGCTCGTGCTCGCCCCTGTGTGTTGTTTGATGGATTGGGTTTCATTGGACTGGCCAGGCACTGGCTGATGCCCTGCAACAGCAGAGCAAAGGTCACGATAGGGTGGGTGATCTCCTTTGTGGTTGTGTTTGCCGCTGTCATTATTTGTCTTCTTGTTTGTGGTCCACCGTCGTTTAAGTTTGTGTCACGGGTGTTGTCAACTGTTATGTTTGGTGGGGAACCACCGCCATTTTGTTCCTGAAACACCACGACTTATATATACACATGTTTAGACTCCTCCCTTCAATCAGCATTCCTAGGTCCTAGTTGACATTGTGCAAAACAAGTTTTCCAAGGAGTAGTTCGCGAACACCATGGATTTGATTTCTATGAGTTCTTTGGTGGTTAGTAGTTCGAATCAAGGTAAGGCAACCTGTTGCAAATAGAATCACCACTGAGCCACTGAGCAAGTGATGTCCTTTGATAACTTCCTTGCACTCATGTGGTTTCATCGCGTTCAGCAACGCAGGAATTTGGCAAGGAAGTTGGAAAAGGACATGCTTTTGATATTTTCGATATTGTATTTTCGTGTCCTTTTTTAGTGGCAGTTCTTTTACCAGACTCCCTGGGTGTGTTCTGGTGGAATTCTCTGAACATCCTTCAATTGTTTGAGGGGGAGATTTACGAATCAAGATCCAGTCAAACATTCTCAGGTGCTACCAGGAACAAGAAGCTACTAGGGGCTCCTGGCCGTACTACTACAAGCAAGGACGCTACTAGGGGCTCCTGGCCTTACTGCTAGGAACAAGAAGCTACTAGTCACTAGGAACAATAAGCATCAGTCCAACATTCTCAGGTGCTGTCAATGGTGTCACCATGTTTCTCAGCATCGTCCTTCGTCCCTGTTTGTATTTAGCCTTCTGGTGGCCCGCATCGAGAAGATCAGCAGAATGTGTTTGATAATGTCATAAGAACATAGTAAATCATGGTAAACTTACTAAGTTGAGGTCGCCTCCGACGATAAGCCTGGAGTTTGAGGTATCGGAGGCAGCGGCACCAGTTGAATCATGCAAGCAAACGGGATCAAGCACTGCTCCAGTTCTGCTCCAGGATCAAACACCGCAGCCGCGTGCCCCTCGCCCACCTGTGAGAGCCGCACAGCCTGCACCCAAGCACTCGAGTCACTCGACAATTTTTGTTCAGTCTAGGATACTCTAGGGCCTTCTTTCTGCTTGGTGTTTCCAGCTTCCAACTCATGACACAGACACACAGACATCTTGAGGGTAGTACTGACTTGATGTTAAGTGAGAGCTGAACTTCTCAACCAAATAGAGTCCAAGAGCAGGAACGATACAATGGATGCAACGAGGACATATTGAGTTGTAATTAAGGAATGTAGACCCAGCGAAACGGACACAAGGAAAGAAGGACTGGAAAGATGTTTTCGTTCTGAGGCTTCGAAGGCGCAATTGCAGGTGGCTCAGAGATGCTGTTTGCATTTGACAAAACCCGAAAGACTTTAAAGCGTACTTAGTACTTGATACTTGTATCATTTTGATTCATTCAAGGTTTTACACACAAATGGAGGCTTGCAACATGCCAGCTTCAAAATGCAAGCTCCACAACCATGTGCAAATCAACAACAAGGTGGTTTGCGAAGGATTCGGGTGTTATATTTATGAGGCTTACGCCTGACAGCCGGGCGCCGGCCTATTTGGGTTTGGGTATGGGTATGTGCAGGGCTGGGTCCTCTCTCTCTCTCTGTCTCTCTCTCTCTCTCTGTCTCTCTGTCTCTCTCTCTCTCTCTCTTTCTTTGAGACTTGGTGGGGCCTATATTGAGCAAAGTTAAGCTATCTGGTGCGCATCTTGGCCCTAGGTTGGGCCAAGTTGCGCCCATGTGGTCTATGTTGGGCACATCTTGGGCCCAAGTTGAGCCTATGTTGGGCCTAGGTTGGGCCTATGTTAGGCCTATGTTGGCCTAGGTTGGGCCTATGTTGGGCCTATGTTGGCGTATGTTGGCCCCATGTTGGCCTATGTTGGCCCTATGTTGAGCCATCTTGGAGGCTATGTTGGGCATATGTTGGGGATATGTTGGCTATCTTGGGCCTATGTTGGGGATATGTTAAGCAACTTATGTGCCCAACGCCCACGAAATGTCGATTAAGCCTGTCCGCGCGACACGCATAACTGACACCACCGGCGCCCTGTTAGGCGCAAGTCATGTCCGCCGAAGGCCACGAAACACTGTAAAAACTGATGTTTTTGAACATTTTTTGAACATCCTGCGCAAGATACATATAAATCTGTCGACCGGATTCGGGCGGAGGTCGGGCGGAGGTATCCCCGCGGTCCAACAAAAGGGTCGGCGGCAGGGGCGGCGAGCGTATATAACCTTCGGTTACCAACCGAAGGCCTCCGGCAAGGACACGGGCCCGTGGCCGGCGCCCGGAAGGCGTAAGCCTCATAAAGCCGGGCGCCGGCCTATTTGGGTTTGGGTATGCGCAGGGCTGGGTCCTGTCTCTCTCTCTTTGTCTCTCTGTCTCTCTCCCTCTCTCTCTCTCTCACACACCTGTCTCTCTCTTTGAGACTTGGTGGAGCTATCTGGTGCGCATCTTGGCCGTAGGTTGGGCCAAGTTGAGCCCATGCGGTCTATGTTGGGCACATCTTGGGCCCAAGTTGAGCCTATGTTGGGCCTAGGTCGGCCTATGTTACGCCTATGTTGGCCTAGGTTGGGCCTATGTTGGCCCCATGTTGGCCTATGTTGGCCCTATGTTGAGCCATCTTGGAGGCTATGTTGGGCATATGTTGGCTATCTTGGGCCTATGTTGGGGATATGTTAGGCAACTTCTGTGCCCAACACCCACGAAATGTCGATTAAGCCTGTCCGCGCGGCACGCATAACTGACACCACGGGCACCCTGTCGTGGACGCCGAAGGCCACGAAACACTGTAAAAAACGATGTTTTTGAACCTTTCTCGAACATCCAGCGCAAGATACATATAAATCTGTCGGGCGGATTTGGTCGGGGGTCGGGCGGGGGTATCCCCGCGGTCGAACAAAAGGGTCGGCGGCAGGGGCGGCGAGCGTATATAACCTTCGGTTACCAACCGAAGGCCTCCGGCAAGGGAACGTGCGCGTGGCCGGCGCCCGGATTTAAGAGGCTTACGCCTGACAGCCGGGCGCCGGCCTAGCAGGGCCGGCGCCCCGTTTGCAACATGGGGCCAACGTACGCCAACGTACGGCAACATAGGCCCAACCCAGGAGAACATATGCCTAACATAGGTGTAACATAGTTTCCACATGGGTTTAAGATGTGCTCAACATACACCACATGGGCCCAACTTGGCCCAACCTAGTGCTAAGATGCGCACCAGATGGCCAAACTTTGGTCAGTATAGACCCCACCAAGGCTCAAAAAAAGAGAAAGAGAGAGACAGAGAACCCAACCTTGAGATCCAAAAAAGCCGCATAAAGAGGGTGTGTGTAGGGCACGGCACCTTCTCTTCTCTGTCGCTCTTGCTTTGTCTTTTTCATTCTCTCTCTCCCTTTCCTCTCTTTGTCTGTATCTGTCTCTGTCTTCGTCCTGGTATCTCTCTTTCTCTCTCTCTCTTTTTCGTGTCTCTGTCTTTCACTTTCTTTCCGTCTCTCGCTGTTTTTCTCTCTCCCCTCTCCTTTG